TGGGGGTAGGCACAAAAACATGCCTTCCGTCTAGATCCACCAAAAAATGTTTTACTCCTACATTGGGAGAAAACACCAAAAATATGCTTCATAGGTTTCCACCAAATAAATGCTCCAAGTTCTTATTTCTATCTATCAAAAGTTTGCTACAGAAAAGAGGCATGGGCTATGCAAAAGTTATTCATAAAAAAAGAGAGAAGAAGAAAGAAGAATTGAAAAAATGGACAAGTGTTCGAAGTATTAAAATAATGGGTACTTAGATGCCCGCTTGAAAAAAATGATATGAATAAGATAGCCGATGTTTTCTTGCAAAGATTATCCCAAGTTCAAATGAGAGATATGTTTTTAAGGTGCATAGTAGAATTAGGCTAGCCAACATATATATCCACCATAATCCATACACATGCACATTTTGATTTGATTGTATGACTTAACTCTCTTTGGATCCGAGGTTTGACTTTACAATATATGTATTGCAAGTATGATCTCTTCATACAATTACCACTCCTATGAGCTCCACATAAGCATTAGTTATATGAGAAGAAAAGGCATAACATCATTCATTGCCTTGGTGAGGATCCACAATTACCACATATATGAGAGATTTGAGAGTGTCATACAGAGGAATCTCTGAGTTTTTATTTTGAAAACTTATAAAACTTGAGAACAATGGTTGAACAGAAGAACCTGAGACATAGTGCTTGACTTGATTGTTCTGTCTTTCAATTGCTTAAGATCCAAGTGAAAGCTAGAAAGCCCCATGGTTGAAGGTAATATGGGTAAGTTTGAAAGTCAGATCGATGAATTTTAATTTAGAGGAGAATTCTTGTTTGAACGTATGTGTACTTTTAAGGAGTTGCATCAATGTTTTCAAAAATCCTAAAACTCCTGATTCATTGTTAAGTTTAGCTTTACTCAGGGATGAGCAAAGGTCAAGCTTGGGAGAGTTTGTTGATGGTAGTTATCATCCAACATAAACAGTCAACTTTACTTGTATAAATGCATAAAAAGGATCACCAATATAGACTTAAGGGTTTAAACTGACAAATTCCATGAGTTTTGGTGAATCTATGTTTTTAGTAGGGTTATTTCAGAAAACCATCAAGGAGGATCAAATCATCAAATAAAATCACGCTTATCCATGGTGAAACGGACATTAGAAGGTTCTAGAAGACTCGAGAGGACTCCACACCAAAGTGGGGGCTAAGCCACTGCTAGGTGGGGCCGCCCACCTAGAGGCCGCTCGACCCCTGGGGGAGCCACCTGTCAGCCTCCTTCATACGTCGGTTCCCCACCGCCTCCTAGGATGCATCTACACCGTCCTTTAAGTCAGTTTGATCCAAGGACTCACATTGGATGCTCCGCCCAATATAACCAGCCCTTGCCCCCCTCCAGGGAACGCTGCCATAAGTCAAGAGTAGACCAGAAATTAGGGTTTCTAGAGAGAAGAGAATAGAGCTATAATTCTTCAAGTTTCTAGTATAGGCTAGCTAGCAAGGTTCAAGTAGAGTTTGGGCTATTGCTCAGGATTCCAGATCTACCATCTAGAGACTGGTATAGCCATTGTATCTCTTTATTTATGACTTTGTGCTACTTCAACATTATGTTGCTATTTATTAGGTTCCTAGTTTGCTCTAGTAATATGCTTGATATAGTTATGGTTGATGATGAATATATGCATATGTTCGCAAAGCTCTTAGCTTAGTACTCGAGTGAGTTAAGTGGTCGACATTATGTAAGCATGGTGCTTAGATATTGTTTGCCTATGGATGCCTTCTACACTCTAGGTCATGTGGTAGATCATGGATGTGACACTCCCATTGAGTCCTTTGTAGTCCACTCCCCATTTGTAGAGCACGTAGAACATGATTGTGAAGGAAGACAAGCTCTGTTCTTAATCTTCCTTAGTAATGTTCCTTATGCATAGATCCAAAGTTAGTTATACTATAGATGAGAGTGTATATACTTGGGTGTACAAAACACTTTGTAGATAAGTAATGACTTAGGAATCTTTTGCTCTTAACAAATCTCCTGCTTAGCCTTACTACATTTTATGGGTATCTATTTCTATCTCTGGAATACCATTATTACCTTACACTTATCATTGTTTTATCACTTGACTTACCTCTGCCATAGCATGAGAGTGGTTTTATCATAAGTATACATATTTGTCAATATCTCTATGCCAACACAACCCCATAGCTCCTCCCTATGGATAAAATATAAATAACGATACTCGGTATACTCCCGAGTGAAATTCTACAATTGTAAAGTATCTGTGCGCTTGTGGATACCTTATATATATAGTTTATAAGTGTTCTCATATTTACTAACAACGTATTTCTGGCATCATGCTAGGAATGACAACTTAGTTAGGAGTGATGGTATGAAATGTCAACAGCCTCAGTGGTGAAGGGTGGACGGGGCTCGGGAGGCCATGCCGCAGCCGGTGGTGACCATGCCAGCGACAACGGGTGCCCGAGGTGACGATGGTAGCTCATCGGAGGTTCCGCGGCAGCGCTGCTCCACGAAAATGGCCCTAGTGGCCTTAACTCACCTAGGTAAATACACAGTGCGGGCTTGCCCACACATGTGGCTGGGAGAGCTTGGGCTCATCCTTGGCAATACGGCAAGGTGAGCTTGCCGCCGTGTGTTGAGGGAGGAGCAATGAGGAGAGAGAAGAGGGAGGAGAGGTGGTGTGGGGTCATGAAAGATCTTCACGAGCCTTGTCGCATCGTTGGGGCAAAGTGGTGGCGGTGGGGTAGGCTAGCTTGGGTGGCGATGCGGTATTCGCATCGCTGGCCCGAGGTAGACGATGGCTTTGATAGCCAGGGTCCACCTACCAGCGAGCGAGATAGGGGGAGAGAGGAGGCGGGCGCGGCGTGGGCTGTGGTGCGATGATGGTCCGACCCAAGTCACGCAGGGGAGGCAGAGGAGAGGGAGAAGGAAGTGGGTTGCTACTGCCGTTGCCGTGGGCCGAGGGCTAGGAATGAGCCTATTGCTCATTTTCCATTTTCCTTTCTTTGTCTTTTTCCCAGATTTCCAATTCTATGTTTAAATGCAATTTGAATTCAAATTCAAACATGCATGCATCCATGGCTTCCATAGGTGCTTGTTCTTATGGTACCCTCAAACATTTCTTTAGTTGTGAAACGTGAAACACATCATGAACATCTGCCATTTCTTATGGTAATTCTAGTCGATAAGCTACGGCTCCAATCTTTTCTATGATCTGATATGGTCCAATATAGCGTGGTGCTAGTTTTCCCCTGACTTGGAATCTTCGAGTGCCCCTAATCGGTGAGACTTTCAAATTAGCATACTCCCCTGGTTGAAATTCCAATGGCCTTCGCCGGGTGTCTGCATAACTCTTTTGTCTGCTTTGTGCTGCTTTCAAATTCTCTCGGACCTTGGCTACTTGCTCTTCGGGTTCCTTGATCATATCCAGGCCAAATAAACTTGTTTCTCCAACCTCAGACCACATTAATGGGGTTCGACATCTTCTTCCATATAATGCTTCAAACGATGACATCTTCAAGCTTGCTTGATAACCATTGTTGTAGGAGATCTCTGCGAATGACAAGCTCTTTTCCTAGCCTTTTCCATAAGTGAGTATGCAAGCTTGTAACATGTCTTCCAATATCTGATTGACCCACTCTGTCTGTCCATCAGTTTGTGGATGATAGGCTGAACTATAATCTAGACGTGTTCCCAATGCTTTGTGTAGGCTGTTCCCAAATCGTGCGGTGAATTGAGTTCCTCTATCTGATACTATTTGGCTCGGTACTCCATGCAGATGGAGGATGTTGTCAATGTATAGTTGTGCCAGCTTGTTCCCTTTGTAATCGGCTCTGACTGGTATAAAGTGTGCCACTTTCGTCAGTCGGTCTACTATGACCCATATGGAATCATGTCCATTTTGTGTCTTCGGCAGCCCTACTATGAAGTCCATGTTGATCTCATCCCACTTCCATACTGGTATGTGCACTGGTTGAAGTAGTCCGGCAGGTCGTTGATGTTTGGCTTTTACTCGTCGGTAGGTATTGCATTGGGCAACATATTCGGCGATATCTCCTTTCATTCTGGTCCACCAATACTTTTGCTTGAGGTCCATGTACATCTTGGCTGATCCAGGGTGGATAGAGTATGCAGAATTGTGTGCTTCTTCTAGTATTAATCTTCGGAGGGCTTCATCTTAGGGTACGCATATCTGATCTTCATACCATAATTTTCCTTGCTCATCCACTCTGAATCCTGGGATTTCCTTCCTACTACTTAGCTCCTTGAGGTCTTGTATTTCTCTGTCCTGGTCTTGGGCTTCTTTTATCCGATCTTCTAGTGTTGGTCATAATCGCAGAACATTCAGGGTGCCTTGTGGTATGATCTATAAGTTCAGTTGATGGACATCTTGTGCTAACTCTGGTCTCCTATTCAAGGTCATCATGTGGTGGCAATAAGACTTTCTACTTAAAGCGTCTGCAACTACGTTGGCCTTGCTCGGATGATACTGTACACTTAGGTCATAGTCCTTGATTAATTCCGACCATCTTTGTTGTCGTAGATTCAATTTCGGCTAGGTGAAAATGCACTTCGAGCTCTTGTGATCCATGAATATTTCACACTTGTTTCCAATGAGGTAGTGTCTCCATATCTTTAGGGAGTGAACTACGACTGGTAGCTCCAAGTCATGGGTTGGATAATTTTCTTCGTGCTAAAAGAATAATTCCTCATTTTTTTTGACTAAAATTGCACCAAGGCATGTGGTACAAAGTTCCTACGGACACTACAAATCCAAAGAGAAAACACATATCTGCACAAATTTTTGCCGAGCACCAGATCACATGAAGGCAACTTGATTAACATAGTCCAGATGATAGTTCATTGCAAAAGATTCGAGCATCATGAAACAAGGTTGATGTTTGAGCAGCTCGCATACCTACTAGCCCACACCACACATGGAAAAAAGTAGCACATCAAGAGGAAGATCAATTTTTTATCATCTAGTAATCCAACAGACTAGCAGCAGCATCTTCATCCTTGCTCCCTTCACAGGCTACTCCCTGCAATCCGAGAGCACCAACAAACCCACCATGATTGAGGAGATCTATTGAATTCCAACCAACTGATGAGATTAGAACAGAAACTTGCCTCTTAGCTTCCTTGTGCTCGACCGCTACTTGTGCTGTAGCAGTAGTGATTTCGGATGGCTGGACGCGCCCCTCGCTCCTGGGCTCTAGTCGCCCGTTGAACGACGATCTGGAGTGCCCTGAGAAGACACGCACTGGTTCGCCTCGCGAGCTGGAACAGAGGCTCAGGCCCGCTGCTGCTAGGACTAGGCCACGGCAGATTCAGTCGCTACCGCTCTAGCCCTGCGCGAGGGACCGCCGCCGCCACAGGAGCCACCACCAAAGTACTGTGTCGCCTCTTCCGCCATGCGCATAAGTGCGTCTCGCCCGCGCGAGCCTGTGCCGCACGCACCGGGCTGCTGCGCCATTTGCGCAACAGCAGGCCACCTCCCGCACGCGCGCCCGCACCTCGCCGCCGCGGGGCCCTACCACCTCGGATCCCGGAGGAGCACCTTGCCTGTTGCGCGTAGCACGCACGCATTAGGGCCGCCCGCCGCCAGCGCCACCGCGTGCAAGAAGCAAGAAAGCGGCGGCCGATGGGAGAGAAAGAGAAGAGTGTGAGGACCGAGGAGGGAAGACTGTGAGGACTGAGGAGGAGCTCGCTAGGGTTTCATTGGCTTATATATGTGTTTTTGTTGTTCAGATGAATGCTGGCCATCAGATTGAGATCAACGGCTCCTATCGTTTTGGTATTAGGGTTTCCCTGGTTCGTGTCTTTATTGGGCTTCTCTAAGCTGAACGGGCCTTAGCAGGCCGCACGCTTGGGAGCCGAATGGCCTGGTTTGGTTGTTCCTTTTTTTAAAAGGCCGAATTAAGACTTATTTATTTTAGAATATAAGTTTCCTTGGCTATTTAATATAAGCACATCATTTAAGTGCTTTAATTAAGTTTTGAGCTCGTAGTGTCCTCAATATATTTATTAATTTAGTTTAAATTCTTTCTCAGCAACTTAATTATAGTTTTTAAGTAATATAAAATAAGTTTAATGCCCTCATAATGATATATATTTCCAATAATAAATTAATTTTGTCAGAAAAAATCTACAAATTGACAAAATAACATATTTTAGCTCCATAAGCATTCCATAAAAATTTCAAACAATTTTGACAAAGTGAAACTATATACATCCTTCATAAATAGATACATCACTCACTTAGCCATGTAACTATGTGAGAGAAGTATAGATTTGTGAACAATATGCAGTAACGCTTTGCTAAAAATGAATTGAATTTTTTAAGGAGTGATCATACACCAAAACCATGCTTTGACGCAAGTTTGTAGAATTTTCTAACCAAATTTAGATATTATTACAACTATTGCATGGTAATTCCACAATATAATTGTAATAATATCTAAATTTGGTCAGCAAAATCTATAAATTGACACAACAGCATACTTTAGGTCTATAAGCACTGCACAAAAAAATCAAGCAATTTTAATAAAGAGAGACTATATATTCTTTACAAATAGATAGATCTTTCACTTAGCCATATAACTATGTGAAAGATGTATCAGTTTGTGAACAACGTACAGTAGATGATTTTAAATGAAAAAGTCATCAACAACAAAGTTGTAGAACTCATCGATATCTATAACTTTTGTATTTGTCGTTTCCCCATCCGACTTTGTTTGAATAGTTTAATATTTGAATTTCAAAATATAAGAACTTCAAACATAATTTTGGGATACTAAATGATTTTAAATGGAAAAGTTGTCAACTACAAAGCTAAAGAAATCATTAATATCTATAATTTTTGTATTGGTCATTTCTCCATCCAACATTGTTTGAATGGTTCACAAAAATGGATGCGCCATTTCATGGAACCCGGACTAGAACTCCTATGTTTCATAGAACCATGCATATATAATTATTGTAGATGGACAATGAAAAAAGATCATCCAATTTAGAGTTTGTATGATTGTAATAAACAATTTTGAAGCTTCATCCACAGATTAAAAGTTAGAAATCTTGTTTATTGATTTATCTAGTATTTTATTATATTTTACTCTGGAAATTCTGTAATGTTGATTGTTTATAAATATGGGCTGGTCACAGCAATTGAACAAAAACTAGTCGTGGTCTAATGGTACGGTGCTTACTTAGAGGCCAAGAGTGAGGTACCAGGTTCCATTCCTAGTTGCTGTAGTTTTTTTGTTAAAAAAGCTGTTGGTGGGTCCTGAGTCCCCTACGTGATGGGCCGAATCCTAGGTTCGAGCTGTACGTCCGCTGGGCCCCTAGCAGCAACTTGTTTTTTTGGGTAATTTCCATGCTCACGCTTGACCCTTTGCAAATGGGCTGGCACTCAGGATTTGCATGCTTGCCCCTAAAAAAAAAGATTCGCATGCTTGCTGGGCCTCTCAGGACGCGCACCTCGCTGGGCTCTCAGGCTGTGCAGTCGCGCACGCGAGACTACGCGAGAGAGTGTCAGGCGCAGGGAGGATACATCGAGCGTCGGGCGTTCAGGGTGGTGTGTGTGTGTTTAAATTTGTTTTCTTTTTATTTTCTTTCCTTTCTTTATATATATATATGAATGTATGTCTCTATTAATTTTTATCTCTCCACTTCACTTTTCTACATAACCTTTTCATATCACCAACCTATTAGTTTGAGTTTAGAAATGAATAATTACACACATGATAAGAAAAACACTCAATGTTTCTTTAATTATTCTTTAATTATTTTTTAATTATTTTTTAAACAATGGATGCATACATTTTTTATTGCGACCGACTATAAGTCTTAAACGACCAATCATCCACCGGTGCTTTGATATTTTTAACGACACCTCTTCACATCACATGACTGCATGTTTTGTTTGTGTTTTTTTGATGTAGTGATTAGGCTATATAAAATAAAATGCCACGTTGACAACGTGGGCTGTGAAACATAGATAACATGAGATGAAATATATTGGGAAAACAATGAAAATAAAAAAGTATATGGACCAACCCGACCACACAGCTGTTGAACATGCCAACATGGAGAACAACATGTAAACAAATCAATATTTTATTTTTTTGACGCACAAACTCTATCATAGATTGATGGAATTTGTAAATTAGCCTTTGTGACACAGAAAATGTCTCTGTGACGTCACAAATATCGTCATTGGATGGAATTGGACTAGTTGTATGACGTTTTTTGTGACATACAACCTTTTATTGTCACCAAGTCGAATTGCCTAAAACATAATGTCATAAACTGAATGATATAATGACTTTATCACCTGTTGTCATACCAAATACGTCAAAAAGCCACACATCTCTTGTAGTGCTCTTAGCTGCCGGTTTTATCAAAGAGGTGTATCATCCGAAGTGGTTAGCCAACCCGGTTCTTGTAAGAAAAAAGAATAAAAATGGAGAATATGCGTTGATTACACTGATCTCAACAAACACTTCCCTAAAGACCCCTTCGGCTTACCTCGCATTGACGAGGTCATAGATTCTATAGCCGGTTGCCATCCTGATCACATCCTAGAAGATCCATCACTACTTTGACGCCTACCACATAGCAATAGTCACTGAGTACCCACTCGGTGATATCCTCCGCAACAAGGAAGCCAGCGGCCGCATCATTAAATGGGTGGTCGATCTTGGCACCTATACCATCGACTTCAGGCCTCGCCACATGATCAAGTCGCAGGCGCTCATCGACTTCATCGCCAAGTGGACGGATATGTAGACTCCTCTCCCGGTCGACCACCCCGAGCACTGGACCATGTACTTCGATGGGTCTCTCAACCTCGACGGCACTGGGGCAGATGTATATTTCATCTCACCATCGGGGGATAAGCTTCGCTATGTCCTTCGCCTACACTTCTGAGCATCCAATAATACCGCTGAATACGAGGCGGCACTTCATGGTCTCCGTATAGTTGTCGAGCTCGGCGTTAAACGCCTCTAGGTGTATGGCGACTCTGCACTCATGATCAATCAGCTCAACAAGGATTGGAATTGCACTAATGAGAAGATGGACGCTTACTACACCGCGATAAGAATGTAAGAAGACAAGTTCTATGGCATCGAGTACCACCATGTGGTCTGGGCTGACAACCAAGCAGCCGATGAGCTATCAAAGTTAGGGTCAACCCAGGCCAAAGTTCCAGCCAGAGTGTTCGTCTAGGTCCTGGTGACGCCATCCATCAAGCAGGGGCAAGAAGGCATTGAAGAAAAGCCACCTGCCGAGCCGTTAGTTGCATCGGTCCCTGGCCCGAGCAGTGATTGGAGGGAACCTTTCATCAAATACCTCACACTGTAGATGTCTCGGGCGACAACATAGAGAGAGAACACCTCACTCACTACAGCAAGCATTACGTCCAAGTCGAAGGAAAGTTATATCGCAAGAACGCCAAGGGAGAGCAACTCCAAAAGTGCATTTTCATGGAAGAGGGCGAGAAGATACTCAAGGATATCCACGCCGGCACTTGTAACAATCACGCCACCTCTAGAACACTAGTTGACAAAGCCTTCCAAGCTAATTTCTACTGCCTTTAGTGGTTGCCGATGCTGTGGCATTCGTTCACCGGTGTGAGAATTATCAGTTTTTTGCTAAGCAAATTCATGTCTTGGCCTAGGCCTTACAAACAATTCCTACGTCTTGGCCCTTCGCATGCTGGGGACTAGATATGATCGGGACCTTCAAGCCCACGCGGGGAGGTTTCCGCTGGGTCTATGTCTGCATCGACAAATTCTCCAAGTGGATCGAATACAAACCCCAGGTCCAATCTACAGCGAAGAAGGCAGCCGAGCTGCTTGACGACCTCATTCACCGATTTGGCCTGCCGAATAGCATCATCATCAACTTGGGGTCCACGTTCACCGATGATGATTTCTAGGACTTCTACGATGAAAGGTGCATCTCAGTAAAGTATGTCTCGGTCATGCACCCTAGGGCTAATGGCCAAGTTGAGCACGCCAACGACATGATCCTCAATGCGTTGAAGAAGCTCTACAAGAACGAGCAGAGGCACCCCAGCAAGTGGCTCAAGGAATTACCAGTTGTGGTCTGGGGACTAAGGACTCAGCCTAGTCGCAACACAGGTGTCTCCCCATACTTCATGGTTTTTGGCTCTGAGGCCGTTTTACCAGCCGACATCGCTTTCTGAGCACCCAGAGTGGAGAACTACAATGAAGAAAACTCCGACCAAGCCCGGCTCATCGAGTTGGATAGCCTAGAGAAGGAGCGCCTAGTTTCGTGTGTTTGGTCAGCGAAGTACCTTGACAGCATGCGAATGTACTACAACTGCAATGTTAATGATCGATTCTTCATGGTTAGAGACCTAGTGCTCCACAAGAAGTAGAAGACCGACGGGATGCACAAGCTATCTTCACCCTGGGAGGGCCCCTTCATCATCAAGGCGGTCACCCG